GCCTCCAAGGTCGCAATGAGACACCGGCGCTCCCTCGAAGGGGACGAGGAGGAGGAGGAAGACGCCGACACTTTGGGGCAGCAGCAGCAGACCAGTAAGGCTGTGGACAGCTCACCCAATGAGGAAGCAGATCAGAATTCAGATTCCTCGTTTGGTCCTGAGGACTCCGACATCCTGGAGGAGGATGTTCCAGAGGGTATTTAACGGCGTACTTACCGTTGACAGTGTAAATATCCTAATCGTCTTTTTTTGTTAAATGATCTTTTTTATCAGGGCCTCGGTGGGTGCTGCTCTCACAGCTTTTGTTCTTAACACTGTTGATAACCTCGGGAGGCAGTTTGCTGGTGTAAGCTTATTCGTCTGGGGTTGCGTGCAGGGTGGATAACATTACTTCAATCCTCCACCTTCTCATCCTAGCGTAACATATTAATCATGACGGTGAGCCACCCCGCAGGTGTTAGCCGTTCTCTGCGATCTACTTATCGTCTGCCGAGGAGAAGGAAGGGTAGATCATCCAATACGTTTAGGACTTCCATCGTACACGTCAAATCTCCACCTGTAGTCCTTCATCATTCTCGCGGGCATAGTTAATTTGAGCTGGGACGATTGCGAAAACCGGTATACGATATTTCCTCTTGTGGCAGAAGTCCTCCGGTCCACTGTTAGGTTTCCGCAAGACAAGCCAATATCTAGAGGTCGCGTAAGGCGGACCTCTAACACCTAACAACATATGATAGGACTCGCCAGGCCCCCATCCTCTGTCTTGTTGATCTTTCGGCATGTACGTCTGTGTCGTTTTATAACTTTGTGCGGGCACCCATTTCCCTTGAGTGGCACTTGACCCATAGAAGGTTCGGTTGAGTTTTATTAAGGGAAAGATGGGCAAGCGCCTTCAAGCTCTCTACCACTCCAAAAAAGCGGCCGTTCACATAATTGCAGACGAAAAGCGAACAGCCATCGGTTCGCCCAAAAAAGGGTAAACATAAACTGTTACTCACTTATTACGAGTAGTATGATTCGGATGTAAGTAACACCTGTGAATCGTACTTCGCTTTATCGGCGATGTCAAATGACACGAGCCAGTAGGTGGAACAGAAGCAGATGTGCAATGCCACATCACCTGGTTACGTTAGCTTCTGTCGACGTCCTGTGTATCGTTGCCCTCAGCACCCCATCGGCCTTGCAGCGGCCAAAAATGGCAGCCGGTTATTCCAACCTGGCGCACCGGCAAGGTGGAATTTGGGATACTTCAAAGTTGCCAAACCAGTCCCAGTTGTATGTTCGCAAAAGTTTTAGAGTGCCAGATTGATGACTTCCGGACATTCGCCCGCGGTGTCCTGGATGGTTCTTGGCCTACTGACATATTGACCCCTTAATCAGACAATACATTTTACAGCTGAGCTTGACTACGGTTAAATATGTCCTTGCACTGAAAGGAACGTCGGGCGAGGATGTTTGTGGTACGAGGACAGCGTGTGAGGCAAACGAAAGTGGTATAGAACTGTTTTCAGGAAGTAAAAGAGAAAAATGCGTGTACTGCATCGGCTTGTTTGAATATCCCAATAAAGCGTAAAAGTGATAGCGCGCAATTTGAATGACTAGAAACTGAGAGCTATGGGTGGGCGAAAAAATGCCCAGCAAACCAGTAAAAAACAGTGCCAATAGTAGAGGAGATGCGAGTTCCAGGAAGCAGTTAGAAGAAGATGCGATCACTGGAACAAGGACTTTATTTTCCTGACGTTTCGGAACACGTATCTTGACCATAATTAAACGAACCTCGTATGATAAATAAGAACAGAACAAGAGGATCGATCACTGGAACAAGAGTTTTATTTGCCTGACGTTTCGGATTCCCTCGGGACTCCTTAATCAGTGGCTGGGACTCTGATGGGCCGGAGCTTAGATGACTGGGCTCGATCTATGGGTACGTGGAGGCCGGAGTGAAGCGAGCGGACGTTGCTTAAGCTGTAGGTATAAATATCAGAAGGGTCAAATGTTCGTGGTCATAGTACAAGTGGACAGGTACCCTCACAAACCAGAATACTGGAAGACCAAC